TGGTTAAGATTACAAGTGTGAGCCACCAGTGCCCAGCTGGATATTTTGTTTTTTAAGCATGGCTTCTCTGACTCAAGTTTTATTTAGTTCACAATTTGGAGGTACCTGCAACAGCTTGGTTTTGCAGAGGGCAGTGGATGGCATACAGAGATCATTTTATATCTATGCGAGAGAAAGAAAAAGAGGGAAGAGAGAGACACACACACAGAGCCAGTCAGAGCCAGACAGAGCCAGAGCCAGAGGTTCCATAATCTCCTTTGAGGGCATATACCCAGTGACCTAAAGACCTCCCATTAGGCCTCTCCTCTAGAAAATCCACAGAATCTCCTAGTATTACCTTCGGGATCAAATTTTTATTTATCCAAACCATAGAAAGTCCTAAATATATTTCCCTGACTTTTATTTTGGTGAATGTTTTTGTCATGCCAGCAAAAAGAAAGAAAAAGATATCAGGATAATAATCACCCATCTCAGGATTGGGTGCCAGTAGCTCATACCTGTGATCTTCAGCTGAAGCTGAGATCTGAGGATTGTAGTTCAAAGCCAGCCTGGGCAGGAAAATCCATGAGACTCCTTTCTGCCATTAATGTATGCTAATTAAAAAAAAAAGAAAAGAAAAAAAAGATCTTTAAAAGAAAAAAGGTACAAAAGCCTGGGACAGGCATTAATTTTTCAAAAGGTTTCATTCCCCATCTCCAGCATCCCACTTGATCATACATCTAAAATGTTTCTCAGATCCCAGACTTCTTTTGGTGAATCTTTCCACTGAATACAAGTATTAACAGGATTACTAACAAGAGGTCAGCAGAGGAAAAAAAAGCTGATTTTTAAAATATTTATTTATTTATTTATTTTTGTTGGTTGTGGCCCTTGAACTCAGGGCGCTGTCTCTCAGCTCTTCAGCTCAAGGCTAGCGCTCTACTACTTGAGCCACAGCGCCACTTCGCCTTTTTTCTTTTTTGCTTATGTGGTGCTAAGGAATCGAACCCAGGGCCTTACGCATACAAGGCAAGTGCTCTACCACTGAGCCACCTTGCCAGCCCCTCTGAAATGTTTTTTAAAATGCTAATAGTGTGGTAATTCTGCTTTAAATAAAAAATAAAAAAATAAGTATTTTTTGGCTCTTGTACTCTGGGCATCTGTAGTCTTATTCAGGAAAAATTTACCTGTGCCTATATCTCCCAGCATTTTCCTGTACTAGATTTAAATTTTCAGATCTTACTTTGAGGTCCTTGATCTGACTGGAATTATTTTTTGTACAGGAAATAGTATACATGTACAAGAGAAAGCATCAAAACTGCACACACACACACACACACACACACACACACACACACACACACACACACACACACACACACACATACACACAAAGTCCTCATCCCTTTCTCTAGCCCTGCCATTCCCCAGAGCCAAGTACCCTAACTGGCTCATTTCCTCCAAGGCTATTGTGATCACTCTAGTATACTTTCATCTTAATTATTTATCAGATTACTTATCATTTCCTGATATACACACTGACACACATACTGTTATTGTTTCTCTAATTTCCTAATTATTTGTTAGTTGGATTATTATTTTTACATAATTGAGGCTTATAATATTTCATTTTTCTGCAACTGTAATGAACATTTAGTCTTTATTGAATTGGTTCAAAAATTTAAAACAAATAAAGTGCTTATTATTTTACTTTTTTTTTTTTTTTTTGGTCGGTTGTGGGGCTTAAACTCTAGGCTTGGGCGCTGTCCCTGCGCCCTTCAGCTCAAGGCGAGCACTCTACCGCTTGAGCCACAGAGCCACTTCTGGTTTTCTAGTGTTTTTTTAATTGGAGATAAGAGTCTTACGGACTTTCCTGCCTGGGCAGGCTTTGAACCAAGATCCTCGGATCTCAGCCTCCTGAGTAGCTAGGATTACAGGCGTGAGCCACTGGCGCCTGGCTATTTTACTTTTTGTTCTGGTACTGGGGCTTGTACTCAGGACCTGGTTCCTTAGTTTTTTGCTCAAAGCTGATGCTCTACCACTTGATCCACCTCTCCATTTATGGCTTCTAGCTTTTTACTAGTTAATTGGAGATAAGAATCTAATGGACTTTTCTGCTCAGGCTGGCTTTGAACCATGATCCACATATTTCAACCTCCTAAGTAGCTAGGATTACAAGTGTGAGCCACTGGTTCTTGACAGATAAACAGCATTTATAATGTTCAGTGTGTATGTGTGTGTGCATGTGTGCGTGTGTGTGTGTGTGTGTGTGTGTGTGTGTGTGTGTGTGTGTAACTGCCTGACCAACAGTCTTACTTCATTAAGGCCTTAAATTCTTTCTCCTACTTGAAGGCCTTAAATTCTCCTAGGTTTTCTTTAATTCTAGTTCATGTACTGCTTCCACTGTTTCTTTTATCCTGTGTCATCATTTTCTGGAGCTTCTTTTCCACCTTTCTCTGAACTGATTTTTTTCCACAATAGATCAAGAGTAGTAAATGACTCTTTGATTTTCTAACTTAAAAACTGTGGGAAGAGCCAGGTGCCAGTAGTTCATACCTATAATCCTAGCTACTCAGGAGGCTGAGACCTGAGGATCCTGGTTCAAAGCCAGCCTGGGCAGAAACTCTGTGAGATCTTATCTCCAATAAACTTCTCAAAAAATCCAGCAATGTTACTGTGACTCAAGTGATAGAGTACTGACCTTGAGTAAAAGAAGCTTAGGGACAGTTCCAGGCCCAGAGTTCAAGCCCCAGGACTGTCAGAAATACTGTAGGAAGTAGGATTTCTTTGTGTAGTTTAAAATATTTTGCAGCAGATTGAATGCAGAAAGAGAGCTGAGAACCCAGCTGTCTTCTATCAGGCTAGACATTAAGAAGATCTGCAGAATGTACAATGCTTTTCACAAAGAGAAAATGATTTTGTTTTGGAAAAGCATTATGTTTTCATGAAAGTGTCATTTATCTTAACAAAATATGGGTTTAATGGTGTTATACTATTTTAAATAATCTGATATAGCTGGTCTTTGGGGCATCCAATACTTTTTAAGAATGCAAAGAGGGCTTGGATTTAATGACATAATAGAGAACTTGCCCAGCATATGAAAGGCCCTGGGGTTCATCCCTAGCAGTTTGTGCAAAACTAAAGAGAGCCTGAGCCCAGGAAGTTTGTGAATGGCTGTTCTAGGGATTTAATACACACTTTAAACTTTCCACTGTTTATTTAGCATTAGTATTATGCTAGCATTCACACTGGCTCATTTACTACCAGCCCTCCATCTTTTACACTGTCTGTGTTACATAGGTTTCTTCAAGTTGACAATGATCTGTGGTATTCTCTAGGCCCATGTCTGTCATTGGAGGAGCTGGCTTTGAACTTGGAGTTTCTTAGCTTGGAGACAGCTGTCACTTGTCTCAGCTTCCTGCATTATTTCATCTTTCCCTTTCCCTTGCCCATCTGCAAGAGTGTCTCCAAATGTTGCATTTGATGCTGGCATTTGTTTTCTCTCTTCTAGTTATTAATTACAATTTGTGTGTGTGTGTGTGTGTGTGTGTGTGTGTGTGTGTGTGTGTGTGTGCGTGGGTGCATGCATGCCAGTACTTGAACTCAGGTCCCTTTGCTTTTTCACTAAAGGCTGGTTCTCAAGCCATAGTTTTACTTCTTGCTTTTTTTTTTTTTTCCTAATTAATTGGACATAAAAGTCTCATGGACTTTTTCCTGCCTGGGCTGCTTTGGACCACAGTTCTTAGATCCTAGCCTCAGCTAGGATTAGAGGTGTGAGCTACCGGCACCTGGCTCCTAGATTCATACTTAAAGAAACCCCACATCTTTTCTGACATTTCATGGTCATTTGGAAGGTGGGAAAGTGCATAATCCTGTCACTTTAGAAGAGACGCCCAGTGCTGTGTTCTGAAGCATGTTTCATGCAGTAATGTTGTCTGTTTATCCTGCTATGGATCGGACCTAGGGCCTCATGCCTGCTAGGTCAGGGCATATTCACTTATCTACACAGACACCTTCATTCATTTATACGCTCGTTCATTCAACTACTCACTGTTAGCCACAGTTGTCTTCCATTGCCCTTGGATATATCCTCAGATCCCAGGTGATGCTTGAACTTATGGATAGTACTGAGTCCTATGTTTATTTTATGTTTTCCTAGATGTGAATGCTTGTGATAAAGTTTAATTGATAAATTAGGCACCCTAAGAGATTAGTGGTAACTATAATAATAAAATAGGACAGTTGTAGCAGTAGTGGTAAAAGCTATGTAAATGTGGTTTCTTCTGAAAGAGTCAAGGCAAATATTAATAGTTCCTGGCTGCTGTTGACTGTAGGAGACTGGTCCATTGAAGGGAGACTGGAGCTAAGGGGCATGGCCATACCAGGTCCATGCTGGGCAGAAAGGGATGTGGTAGGGAGCTGAGGTGGGGGGTGTTGTTATTATCTTGGTTTAAAAAAACATAATCACTTAATCACAATTTTAAAAAAAAAGAACCTTGGGGAAGGTAGGGAGGGAAGGGATAGTAGGGGGAAAACAATGGAGGGGGTAACAATGCCCAATAGGAAGTGTACTCATTACCTTACTCATGTAACTGTAACCCTCTGTATAGTATCTTTACAATAAAAAAAAGAAAATGCAAAAAAAATGCATCCAGAATCCTTTTATAAAAGAGCTTTCATTGAAGTGTTTTTTTTTTTTTTTTGGTCGGTCGTGGGGTTTGAACTACATTGACATTTTTAAATTTATTCATTCCATTTTTTTTTTTGTTGGTTGTGGGGCTTGAACCCTGGGCCTGGGCACTGTCCCTGCGCTCTTCAGCTCAAGGCGTGCACTCTACCATCATTCCATGTTTTATTGTGATAACTTGTATGTATCATACAATTTATCATCTTAACCATTTTGATGTTCAGCTCAATTGTATTAAATACATCAATAATACTTTGCAAACTGTTTATTTTTAAGCTCTATTTTGATAAGATTTCATATCCATAAAAATCTTGCAATAGTATAAAACGCTAGCCTGCAAATCTGTTCATTCTTGACACGTTTACCACTTCTTAACATTTTGCTTTTTTGCTTTATTATTAGGTCTCTTTTTCCCTTTCTCCCTCTTCCAACATATTTTCCCTAGTCACTTGAAAGTAATTTTCAGACATGTCTCTTTATCCATAAATATAAATAATTCAGTGTATAGTCCCTAAGAGCAAGAATATTTTTTACCCAGTAACAGTATATTTGTAAGCATCATGAAATATTGTAGTTAAATAGTTTCATAGTTCTATATGCAAAATTTTCCAATGATCTCACTAAAGTGCCGTGTCTCCCTTTCTCCATCCATGGTCCGTCCCCTGGTTCAGTCCAAGAGCATACATTGCATTTAGGTCTCCTAAATCTCTTCACTGTTTTCCAATCTTGAACTATTCCTGGCCTTCTTTGAGCCTGAAGGCCAATTCTCTGGAATGTTTGAAACAGTTCCCTCAGGTGTATTTCTTGACAGACATCCCATGGAGATAGTGATGTGATCTTCTAAAGGAGACCTATGCCATAGAGTTGAAAGGGCCGGGTTGGCTCTTGTTTAGGTGGCCCTGGCCTTTCTGCTCGGGATTCTGTCATTAGTGGGATGGCATCAGGTGTGCAGAGTGGGTGTCCACGAGCTGGTCTGGGGAGACAGACAGAACACTCGGGGTCTATATCGGTCTCAGTGTTTTCACTGCCTCTGAGGGTCTTGCCAGTCCTGGGGCTGTGCCGCTGTGTGGCCAATGTGACCTTGAGAGAGGCGCAGCCTTGGGCAGGGCTGGGGATAATAGAGATCAAGTACGAAGAAACCTCTTGCTGGGCGCTGGTGGCTCACGCCTGTAATCCTAGCTGCTCAGGGGGCGCTGGTGGCTCACGCTTGTAATCCTAGCTGCTCAGGGGCTGAAATCTGAGTATTGCGGTTCAAAGCCAGCCCAGACAGGAAAGTCCTTGAAACTCATCTCCAGTTAACCACCAGAAAACTGGAAGTGGTGCTGTGGCTCAAAGAGGTAGAGTGCTAGCCTTGAGCAGAAAAGCTCAGGGACAGCACCCTGAGTTCAAGCCCCACAACCACCACCACCACCAACAACACCAACAAAAACCCACCAGATTTGGACACTGGCTTTCTAGTTAGTTCTATGACAGACAAGATCAAGGAAGGACTAAGTGACATGGATAGGGTGCTGGCCAGGCTCCAGGCCAGGGAAATTAGACTTCCGCCATGTCAGCACCATCGTGCTCCCCTGCAGAGCCCAGTCCATGTCCATATCAGTGGCCTGCTGATGGCCACCAATGTCCACACAAGCACTCTTGTGCAGCTCCAAGGATGGGCTGCCATGGCCTGGCCTGGGCAGCTTCCAGGACTGTGCTACAGACCCGGGATCCCAGCTTAACTGCCAGGACCAGCTAGCTCGAAGGGCTAGCTTCCAACTCGGTATCTTCCAACTTCCTTGAAGAAATCCCCACCTACACTTAGACCCATCTGTGCTGGTTGGAACTTACAGAAAGCTTTCAGGAGTAGCGTCTCGCTTGAACTTTACAAAACCCCCACGAGGAAGGTGTGTAGCTACGTGCCTGTCAGGCAGGCTCCTTCCCCTGCAGCCTGTGTCTGGGTCAGCCCCCTGCCCAGATCTTGGCACCATGGTTCAGGAGAAAGCAGTGAGGTCCCCCAGTCTGTCCCCTGGCTACCAGGCCAGTAGCATCTAGGGCATATTCTCTGAGGAAATAGTTAACAGTCCAAAAGCAGGCTGCTGGCTCATGAGGAGGTTAGACCCCACCTCTACAAGGGGCCTTTGAGGGGGAAGGGCAGGCCACATCTTGCTTTGCCCCATCTCTGACCTGAGTGGGCAAAAGTAGAATTTCTCGCTAGGCTTCTTTTTCTTCTTCTTTTTTTTCTCCTTCACCTACAAGAAGAGAGAAAACATGTCACTTCATATTTCAGGTGTGTTCATTAACACTGGCAGGCAGCCCTTAGAGTCAAAGGCTCCAGCCCCCAAGCGCAGCTTACTGGGAGCAGGAAGATGAACATTCCTTATTCGATGCATTTCTCACTTTTAGACAAAGCTCATGTTTGGAGATGCTCTATTCCCAGGAGAAAAGCACCTATTTGGAAGCTGAAAGCACCCGGCATCTGTAGTGCTCCCAGTGTTGGTGCAGGTCTCTGCATGCAGAGGGCGGGGCCTGTTTCTTGTCCTAAGAGCTTGGAAAAGAGGATTCTGACAGTGAGCAACACACTACATGGTCACCCGTGGACCAGCTCTGAAGCCCATCCAGCTGGCTGAAAACGGGCCTGATAATCACCACCCTTCATCCCAGCCATCTGACTCCCTGTCCCCCCCCGCCCCCCCCCCCCCCCGGCAATAGAAACTTCTAGGTGGTTGGATGTGGATGGCTCATGTCTGCAATACTAGCTACTCAGGAGGCTGAGATCTGAGGATCGAGATTTGAACCCAGCCCAGGCCGAAAAATCCTTGAGACTTCATCATTAATTAACCAGCAAAAAACCAGACTAGGAGTATGGCTCAAGTGGTAGAGCAAATAAGCTGAGTGAGATGTGAGGCCCAGAGTTCAAGCCCTAGTATGGGCAAGACAAACAAAAACAAACCTACCAGATGAAGGGCTGGATATGTGGTTCAGCAGTATAGTGTTGGCCTAGCAAACACAAGGCTCTTAGTTTCTAACACTAGTACTGCTAAAAAAAAAGTCTGTAATACACCTATTTGCCTACCATTCAGGGAAAGAACGATCTAGGTAGAGGCACTACGGGACATCTTTAATGCCATGGACTCTGTGGGGGCATTCCTTTCCTTCCCTAGAGGAAGAAGCAAGTACAAGGGTGTCAGGGGTACTACCATGTGGGAACTTACCTTCCGCCCTCCTGTGATGGGGCCTGCTTACGGCAGGCAGTGTCTCTGCCTCTCAGTGCACTGGAACACAGGAGCAAGGGTTGCTGATTGGGTCTGGACCTCAGGAACTGGCAGCAACGTGAAGACTGAATAGCATCTCACAAGTGGTGACACTGGACAAGGAGCTGGTGGTGCCCAGGCTGGTGCTTCTGTGCCAAGGCCCAAGAGGCAGGGTGCCATTCCAGAAGTCTGAGAAGTAGACCTTGGCATCACTATTCTACTATGTGGTATTTCACCCTGAGTTTTCTATGCCTCTGTCTCTCCCTTCTCTTTCCTTCTGTCGTTCTCTCTCGCTGTGGTATCTCACTCTTTGTCTAAGATCACAGGGGTTGCAAGAGGGTGTGTGTGTGTGTCAAAACCAGCCTCTTCCTGCCCAGGCTGCCCCCAAGCATTCGGAAACATGCTATGTCGCTCAGTCACCAAACCCATTGCAAACCAGTTACATTTTTTTCCTCTCCTCCTCCTACTCCTCCACATTCTCCTTCTTCTTTTAGGCAGTGTTAGGGTTAGAGCTCACTTCCAGGCAAGTGCTCTGCCACTTGTGGCGCACACCTTTTAGCTTTAGTTCTTTTTTTCAGGTAGGATCTTAAGGGTTTTCTGGGGCTGGTCTCAGATGGTGTTCCTCCTGCCTGTACTTCCTGTGTAGTTGGGACCACAAACATGAACCACCATACCCCATTAGTTTATTGAGATGGGAGTCTCACTAACTTTTTTTTTCCCAGGATGGCCTGGAACCTTAATTCTCCCAGTCTTCACTTCCTAAGTATATGGGATTACAGAGTGAGCCCTGAATCCTGTTCCAGTTACATTTTCATTCTGGGGGGAAAGAATTTCCTAAAGTTTTTACTTTGTATAGAAGGACTGTTAAGGCTGATTTAGTAGATCAGTGAGATCAAGGGAAAGGAAGGAAGGCTGTAGCCATTAGGTAAACAAAAGAGCTTTAAGGAAAAACCACAAAATCTTTTTTTCTGGGGTAAGGCAGATGTGTGTAATTAAGTAAAATTTAAAGTTAGAGTCAAGTGCTGGTGGCTCAGACCTGTAATCCTAGTTACTCAGGAGGCTGAGATTTGAGATTATGGTTCAAAGCCAGCCTGGGCAAGAAAGTCCATGAGATTCTGATCTCCAATTAAAAAAAAAAGCTAGAAGTGGAGCTTAAGTAGTAGAGTGCTAGCCTTGAACACAAAAGCTCAGGGAAAATACCTAGGCTCTGAGTTCAAGCCCCATGACTGGCACAGAAAGAAAGAAAAAGGAAGGAAGACATTTAGAGGAGGAAAAGACAAGTCATCTTTAGGGAAATGAGGTGCAGGAGAAAGTACATATTCTACAGTCTGAGCCTCCCACTGGGAGATTTAGAGCAGCCAGGAGTCATATCAGCTCTGGGCCCGTACTGTCTCCCAGCTGCCTCTCAGAGCAAAGGAGGAGACTGCTGTGGAAACCAGATGCACTCTCCAACCACCCCCCCGCTTTGTTTTTGTTGGTCATGGTGCTTGAACTCAGGGCCTGGGCACTGTCCCTTAGCTCTTCACCTCAAGGTGAGTGCTCTACCACTTGAGCTATAGCACCACTTCCATTTTTCTGGTGGTTTATTGGAGATAAGAGTTTCATGGTCTTTCCTGCCCTGGCTGGCTTTGAGCCATGACCCTCAGATCTCAGCCTCCTGAGTAGCTAGGATTACAGGTGTGAGCCATTGTCACCCGCCCAACGATCCCCCTTTCATGGCTGATCTCTACTGTTGTTGCTGTGTCTATAATAATGGGCCTCTACTAAGCCCTGATAGGAAGCTCAGCACAGCACACAGGGAGTAAGCTATGTCCTGAAATTTGAGATGAGGATCCTGGAAAACTGAGCTGTTCACAGTCACCTGACAGGTTCCCTGGTGCGTTGCTCCATAACAGCCATAGATTGGCAGTCTCTGAGTCATGACAGCTGTTGTCACGTTTGTTGACTTTCTGGAGTTTATTGACTTTGTGGTTTGTGAAAGACGAGTACACAGAAAAGAAGGTGTTCCTGCTGGAGCTGAGACCTCAGCAGTCAAGACCCGCCTCACACTGCCTGTCCCACGAGCCTTACTGGGTGACCCCAGCTGGTCTGCACTGGTATCACACTAATTGCATTTCCCACGAGGCTGGGATGACAGATGCACACCACCATGATGAGCTCTCATTGGTTAAGCCCCATGAACTTTTTTCCATGGCTAGCCTTGAACCAAGATCCTCTCATTCTCCCAAGATTCATTAGGTATGAGCCACTGTGCCTAGCCATTTTGGGTTTTGTTTTTTGAGATTACATCTTGCAATGGAGCTCAGGCTTGCCTCAAACTCCCAGTCTTGCCATAGACTCATTGAGTGTTGGAATTATCATACTACCACAGCCAGCTCCAGTTATTTCTTATTTATTTTTATATTTTTATTTTTGGGTCCAGTCGTGGGGCCTGAACTCTGGGCCTGGGCACTGTCCTTCAGCTCTTCAGCTCAAGGCTAGCACTCTACCATTTGAGCCACAACTCCACTTCCGGCTTTTTTCTTTTTGCTTATGTGGTGCTGAGGAATCGAACCCAGGGCCTCAGGCATGCAAGGCAAGCGCTCTACCACTGAGCCACCTTTCCAGCCGGCCAGTTATTTCTTAAATGCCCTTCCCCACCCTTCCTTTCCCCAATGTATCTTTAAAAAAAAATTATTATTGTTGTTGTTGTTGTTATTGTTGGTTGTGGGGCCTGAACTCTGGGCTTGGGCATTGTCCCTCAGCTCTTCAACTCAAGGCTAGTGTTCTACCACTTGAGCCACAGCGCCACTTCTGGCTTTTTCTGCTTATGTGGTGCTGAGGAATCATGCATGCAAGGCAAACACGCTACCACTGAGCCACCTTCCCAGCCCCAACCCAGTGTATCTTTTAAAATTAAGAAATTTTTAATTGAAGCCAGATGCTTGTGGCTCATGCCTGTAAGCTTAGCTAGTCAGTAGGCTGAGATCTGAGGATCTCAGTTTGAAGCTACCCAGGCAGACAAATCCAAGAGCCCATTTTCTCCAATTAACGAGCTATAAGTGGTTATAGAGTTCTAGCCTTGATCGAGAAAGTTAAAGAGCAGTAAGTGACCTTAAGTTCAAACCATAGTTACCAGCACACACAGAAATTTTTTTGTTGGGGTCGGTTGTGGGGCTTGAACTCTGGGCCTGGGCACTGTCCCTGTGCTCTTCAGCTCAAGGCTAGTGCTCTACCACATGAGCCACAGTGCCACTTCCGGTTTTCTGGTGGTTTAATTGGAAAGTAAGGTCTCGTGGACTTTCCTGCCTGGGCTGGCTTTGAACCGAGATCCTCAGATCTCAGCCTCCTGAGTAACTAGGATTACAGGTGTGAGCCACCGCCACCCAGCTACACACAGAAGTTTTAACTGACAATAAAGTTTGTACATATTTATGGGATACAGTATGCTAATTGGATACATGTATACAATATGTGATGATCATGTCAGGTTATTAGCATCTCCTTAAACATCTGTCATCTTTGGGGAATCTTTGAGCTCCTCTCTTGGAGTTATTTTGGAATGGCGAATAAATTATCGTAAACAATAGTCATTCTAGTGCTGTAAACCACTAGGACTGGTTACTTCTCCCTAACTGTATGTTGGTACCCATTATTCAATTTCCCTCAGTCCCATTTCCCTTCTAAGCTTTTAGTGACCACTTTCTTGATCTGCGTATGTGGTGGGAGAGAAGAGCTGGTTGGATTCTCTCTCTCTTTCTTTTTCTGGGATTTTTATCTCAGGGCCTCAAGCTTGTTTGGTTGGTACGTTACCATATAAGCCACACCTCCAATGCACCTTTTTGCTGTTTAACTGGGATGGAGTCCCATGGACTTACCTTCCCTGAGGTTGGCTTTAAACTGTGATCCTCCAGGTCTCTGACTCCTGAGTAGCATCCTTTTGTTTTAATCAAGTATAGTTGTCCCCAGCTTTGGCCCTTGGTCATGAGTACATGTTTTGTACATCTTTGTCCTCAGCACAAAGGAGCCATGCTCCTGTGAAGACTTTTTTCCCCTGTTACTCTTGATTTTTCTTTTCTTTTCTTTTTCTGTGTTGATAGGTAACACACTCTCCAGTTCCAGATTCACTGCATATATAGTGACTCTGAGCTGGGTGCTTCCCATTCCCACCCACCCTGCCCAGCTAGGAATCATTCGTCACAGTTCTAGGGGACTGGAAGAATCTACTGGTGCCTAAATTTAGATTAAGTTCACAGCATGAATTGCTACTAGTCTTGTTTATGATCATTCTAGTTTTCACACACGCTTTTCATCTTTTTAGTAAAAGGTTTCCCATTTCAGTGTTTATAAATACTTTATTATCCAACTGAAAAAAATGAATGAGCATCTGATTCTCAAAAATTATCCAATGATGTTTTAAAATCCTAGGGTCCTGGGAAAGAAAGAGGTATAGAAGTCAGAGTTGGGGCTGGGAAGGTGGCTCAGTGGTAGAGCGCCTGCCTTGCATGCATGAGGCCCTGGGTTCAATTCCTCAGCACCACATAAGCAAAAAGAAAAAAAGCTGGAAGTGGCACTGTGGCTCAAGTGGTAGAGCGCTAGCCTTGAGCTGAAGAGCTGAGGGATAGCGCCCAGGCCGAGTTCAGGCCCCACAACTGGACGCCCCCCCCCCAAAAAAAAAAGTCAGAGTTTTCAGTGTTCAGACAGAAAAACAGATACTATGGTAGTAGCTATTTGTGTGTGTGTATGTGTGTGTATGTGTGTGTCTTTGTGTCTTTGTATTTGTAACTGTCCTGGGTCTTGAACTTAGGGCGTGGGCTCTGTCCCTGAGCTTTTTTTTTTTTTTTGGTCGGCCATGGGGCTTGAACTCTGGGCCTGGGCGCTGTCCTTCAGCTCTTCAGCTCAAGGCGAGCGCTCTACCACTTGAGCTACAGCGCCACTTCTGGTTTTCTGGTGGTTTATTGGAGATGGGAGTCTCATGGTCTCTCCTGCCCGGGCTGGCTTTGAACCGCGATCCTCAGATCTCAGCCTCCTGAGTAGCTAGAATTACAGGCGTGAGCCACCAGTGCCCGGCTTCCCTGAGCTTTTTTGTTCAAGGCTAGTTTATTGGAGATAAGAGTTTCACAGCCTTCCCTGCCCAGGCTGGCTTTGAATAATGATTCTCAGATCTGTCCCCTGAGTAGCTGGGATTAGAGATATGAGCCACTGACACCTGGCTACCGTAGATACTTTAAGCTGGGACTTGAATATACAGGATGGTTACAGTGGTATTAGAAGGACTGAAGGAGCAAAAAAGCATAGAATAAGGTTCACTGAAGGTTAGCTGTTAGGAAGCTGTGCTTCTGTACCCCTAGAACTAGAGAATTGAAAGGTAACAGCATTGCCCAGAGCATGACCTTATCTTAACTGGGGCCTTCAGTTCCATACCCATTCAATAGTTGCTTCTACCTGCATGTCATTGGCTAGAACCTAGTCACATGACAATACCTGCAAAGAGGCTGGGAAATGTAGTCTACCTGAGTATCCAGAAGGAAAGGGACTGAGTTTGTTGAATTACTAATTCTTATACATATATAAATCCCTGTTGTGAGGAGAGAACAAGGATCCTCTGTGTGTGTGTGTGTGTATGTGTGTGCCCATATTCATGACCTGGGCACATATATGGCTGCCCTGGCACAATACGCTAGGAGTCTTTTTTTTTTTTAAGTTGGGTCTCCTACCTCTTCCTGTACCACTCCCGAGTCCTTCTTTTTCCCTCCCCTGACCCCCCAATGGCCACCTAGCTGACTTCCTTGTGCTCTGTTTGCAGGGGGCCCTAGCCCAGCCCCAGCCCTGGTGGAAGATCCAGCTATTCGTGTGGGAGCCAGTGCTGTTCGGAACCTGGGATGGTGTGTTCACATCCTGCATGATCAACATTTTTGGGGTTGTCCTTTTCTTGAGGACTGGCTGGCTGGTGGTGAGTGATGAGCCGGTGGCTCTGGAGCCTCTGGTGGGCCGCTGGCAGGGAGAGCTGCCATGCTTGGCATTCCACATGCAGGCAACAGATTCCTGGAACACAGATGCTCCTGAAATGAGAAACAGGATGTAATGCAGGGCCTAGCTAGTATTGATTTTTAGATGAGAATCCTGTGAACTGCAAACTCCCAGGTTCAGACAGAAGCCTCTCTGTGGATTTAACTCCAGGAAGTCAGGGCACATCATAGGTGGGACTAGAGATAGGTGAAGAGATTTAAAGAGAGGGGTAGCAGTGTTACCTCTAACTTGTGTCCTGTCTGCCTCTCCTGGTGTTCTTCATATCATGACCTGTGTGGCATCCTATACCAGCTCCTCAGCCAGATGGCACTGTGTGGCATGGTGCAGGGAAATGCTTGGTCAGAGCTGTAGATACCCTACCTCTTAGAGACTGATTGTCTAGGATTGGTTGCCCGGTACTGATCTTCCTGCACAAGATTCTGGAGATCAGCTTGTCTTTGCATGCGGAATAAAGGATCTCCTTTACACATCAGGCAAAAGTATCCTGGGGCCTCCCATACAGATGTGTGCCCTGAGCAGGCTCTCAGCTCCTCTCACGGTGACTTTTCTCACTTGAGACTTCAGTAGACAAAACAGGCTGCCTAGAACAAAAGGAGAAGCAGTCAAGAATTTAACGCTGGTGAACACTTACTGAGCACCAGACGAATGCCAGTGGGATTGGCCAGCCCTCCCTTGGAGGCAGATTCATATCAGGAGAGGTCTTAGAGCATCATTCAATCCCTGGGAAGCAGAATAGGCTCTGAGTGCTATGACCATCCAGGAATGCTTCCTGGAAGAGGTGCACTTGTGAAAGGCCTCAGAGAGGGAGTGGCACTGGATGGGTAAGAGGAGAGAAGGCCATGCAAGGGATAGAAGGCATTACTAGTTAGCTTTCTCCTTCTCCCGAGATACACAGAACCAATGCCACAGGCAATATTCTGGATTAGGGAAGTCTTGAGTCTGAAGGTGGAAAACTCAGGTTAGAATTTTTCTATGTTACAGCCTAGAGACAGAATTTACTCTTTGTAAAACAGAAGTCTTTGCTCTTAAGACATTCATCTGATTGGATGAGGTAGATACGAATTGTGGAGGATAATCTCCTTTGTTTAAAGTTACCTGATTAATCACATCTAAAGAATATCCTTACAAGGGCTGGGAATATGGCTTAGTGGTAGAGTACTTGCCTAGCATGCATGAAGTTCTGGGTTTGATGCCTCAGTACCACATAAACAGAAAAAGGCAGAAGTGGTGCTGTGGCTCAAGTGGTAGAGCGCTAGGCTTGAGTAAAAGAAGCTCAGGGACAGTGTCCAGGCCCTGAGATCAAGCCCCAGGACTGGCACACACACACACAAAAGAATATCTTTATAAGACAGATGTGGTTGGGCTGGGAAGGTGGCTCAGTGGTAGAGCAAGCTTTAAAAAAAAAGATAGATGTAGTTGTATACCCCATAACCCCAGAATTTAGATGCCTTAGGCAAGATGATCTAGAGTTCCAGGACAGCCTGAGTTATGTAGTAAATGCTTGTCACCAGCCAATCAAATCAGTAAAAATACCTTTATAGTAACATCTAAGCCATGATTTTACCAAACTACTGGTTACTATGGTCTAGGCAAGTTGATATATAATACTAACTGTCTCATGGACACATTCTAGGGCATTAAAGCTCCATTGTGGAGGGATGGACAGTGTTCTTATAGCAGCTGTAGGAGACCAGAGATTCTTCAGCTCATTCTCCATACCCCAGCCCTTAGCTTAGGGTTTAGTCTTAGCCATAAACTGATTGAGGCTGAAATTTTTGTGATTAATGGATGGAACCCATAGATTGGGATCAAGAAACTTTCTGGTAGTTCATGCTGGGAATTCCTGGCCCTTACAACCCTTCTCTCAGATACAAAGGGCCCTTAGACTTATAAAAAAACAAAAAGGGCCAGGTGTCAATGACTCATGCCTGTAATCCTACCTATTCAAGAGGCCGAGACCTGAGGATCGGGGTTCAGAGTCATCCCAGGCAGGAAAATTTGTGAGACTTGTATTTCCAATTAATCACCAACAAGCAGGAAGTACAGCTGTGGCTCAAGAAGTAGATTACTGGCTTTGAGTTTTTTTTTTTTTTTTAAAGGCTTGGTGACAGAACCCAGTTCCTGAGTTAAGCTCTAGGACTGGCACAAAACCAAACCAAAACAATAACAACAAAACCCCACAAAGGCTCTAACTCAGTCCCCCTCATCATGGCAGGTAGTCTCAGGCTTTTGTCACCTATGCTGTTTTTCTCCTTCCTTGGAACCACTTTACTGCCAAGCTTGTACCCAAGGGAGACCCATCAACCTGACCTCTGAGGCAGAGGAGATCTGGCCAGTGATAGCATGGACATTTCAGGTTCTGCCCTGTTTAGAGAGGCTTATGGAAATGCAAGAGGAAAGACAGTAGCTCTCTACAGTTTATTATTATTATTATTATTTTAGAAATGGCTATCAGAAGTATTAGTTCTTTTTTGGGGGGGTCAGGTCGTGGGGGCTGAACTCGGCCTGGGCGCTGTCCCTCAGCTCTTCAGCTCAAGGCTAGCGCTCTACACTTGAGCCACAGCGCCACTTCCAGCTTTTTTCTTTTTGTTTATGTGGTGCTGAGGAATCGAACCCAGGGCCTCAGGCATGCAAGGCAAGCGCTCTACCACTGAGCTACCTTCCCAGCCCCAGAAGTATTAGTTCTGTCCCTAATCTATTAACTGTCTGTTGCTGCATAACAAATTACTTCAACACTTATCAGCTGAAAGCAACAAATTTGTATTTCTTTGACAGTATCCATGGTTCCGGAATCCATGTGTTCAAGGTCTGTCCTGAGGCTGCAGTCAAGCATTCAGTAAGGGCTGCAGTCTCAACTGAAGTTTTCTATGGTGAAGAGCCTATAGCCAAGACCACAGAAGCAGTGGTTGGCAGGTCTTGGTCCTCATCTATAGGGTTGCCTCATTACAAGGAAGCAGACTTGCACCAGGGTGAGAGAGAGGATGAGAGCATGCACCTGCTGGGTACAGAAGCCACAGTCTTGTTAATACCTTGGCAGTCCATCACTTCTGCAATACTAGTTATTAAAAGCAGGTCACTTACATGGCTAAAACAAGAAACATAAAATGAAAGTATGGGCATATGTAATACTATACTTGAAAAATTATTCACCTTTTGGAGATATAGATCAAGTGATAGAGTGCCTGTCTAGCAAACACAGGGTCCTCAGAGCCACCAGAATTACCAAAACAAACAAACAAAAACCTTTTAAGCTAGACTGTTTTTGGTAGCTTATAAATTGTACTAATATTTGCCTTCTCTGTGGGATTTTGTGTGTGTGTGTGTGTGTGTGTGTGTGTGTGTGTGTGTGTGTGTACGTGTGCGCCCATGCGTGCATGTGCGCATGCATGTGCACATAGCAGCCAGTACTGAGGCCTGAAGTCAGGGCTTAAGTATTATCCCTTAGCTGTTTTTGCTCAAGGTAAGCACTCTACCACTTGAGCCACAGCTCCACTTCTGGCTTTTTGTGGCTCTGAACTAAAATCTTCAGATCTCAGCCTCCTGAGTTACAAGTGTGAGCCACCAGTGCCTGTCTTCTATGGGAAATTATTTCTCAAATAATTTCTTAAAAGTCTTAAGTAGGAAAGACAATGATAGTGTAACATTGCCAGAGTTAATAAGGTGTATGGCTTCTGGTTACAGGATGCCCTACCTATGGCAGACATATCTAATTTGATGTGGTTTCCTTGCTATTATATGTCTCTATTGTGGTGAACTGACCTGAGACCTTTCTATTTAGAAACCCTAAGGTCTTCTGTCACCAGGGATCATCATTCATTTTGCTCACTTTACTGTCCTTTACCTACTTATGAATCATGAGTGTTCTGCTATAGTAATTGAAGTGGGGAAAAGAAAAACTGGGAGAATGTTCTACAGTTGGGAAGAAGACAGAAGTGAGTCTGCAGTACCAAAGGGTTGGTCATATGCTAGTTACTTTGTCTTTAGGGATTGATGACAGTCTGCCCCTTTCATTTTCATAGATTTTTAAGTGTTAATACGACCTTAAAGTCTTAATTTCAGGAAAACAACCTTTGATGCATAAAAATATGTCTAAGGACAATCATAGCTTATAGTGACAAAAATTTGCCATAATAATATAAACTTTTGCCATTGGAATTATAAATCTTTTCAGTTAAAACATTTATGGCAGTGTATGTGAACTTTGAATGTCTTGAGATAGAGGGTATTAAGCAAATTGGTTTTTCAGCTGATTTCATTAGAACATTGGACTTTAATTCAGCCTTTTAATGTTTGAGCTGTGACAAAAGTGAAGGAAAAAACCCTATTAAGTAAATTGCAACTAATGTGATCATTTGAATGACTAATGGAAGATTTGTATTCTTAAAGTGAGTCACTAGGTACAGAACACACTCAAAGTTGAGGGATCACACAAAGGCGGAAGTTGAGGAGGTGATCATGCGGGCCATCTTCTAGGCTATCTACCCCACCAACACATCCCTTTGCCTTTGAATGATCTCTAATTTTAGCTCTGTCATTAGTTTCATGAAAATAAAGGCAAATGAGAAATCCTCCAACATAAGATAGAGCTTGTAGAGAATGGCATAAAATTTAAATTAGGAGAAATTAGGCCAAAATTATTTTTTAAAATGAAAATACTAACTCTAAAGAATAATGTGGAGACTACTTACATCTCTAAAAAAGGGTAACATAACAGTTATGGTGTGAAAACTTAAAAGATATTGTTATAGCCAGATGCCAGTGACTACATCTATAATCCTAGCTACTCAGAAGACTGAGGATTGAAGTTCAAAGCCAGTCTGAGCAGGAAAGTCTGTGATATTCTTACCTCCAGTTAATTGGCAAAATCCAGAAGTTGAGCTTTAGTTCAAGTGATTGAGCAAAAAAGCTAAGGGTCAATACCCAGCCCCTTAGTTCAAGCCCCAGTACTGGCATACACATAAGAAACAATATTCCTATAGAATAATTTTTTATGCATAGGCAATTTGCAAACATGAACACAGGAGGAAGAGAAAAGCATTAAGTTCTACAAAGCCAATAGCACACATGCTCAGATGGCATGTGCAAGGGTATCTGTGTTCTGGGGAACCAAGGTTGGGCTGGTGGGTGGAGTGGTGAGGAAACTGGGCATTTTGGTTGGCTCCTGTCAGTTCTTCTGCCTCTGGTTTCACCAACAGTCATTTATTGCTGCCATTCCTAGAACTCCCACTAGTGTGATGGGCCATCATCTGACAGTCACCAGATTTTGTGCACATTCGCACAAGGCCATTGGTACCCCTTCTCTCGAGAAGTCACACATAGCCTTGTGCTCCAGTGTAGCCATCAAGGAGGAGATTGAGTGGGTGGAATATTTGTAAGCCACACAATAACAATTATTAACACTAGTAGTAGCAGCATATGACTTACAGCAAAATAAGAATAGGGCAAATAAGATATATCAAGCACGTGTGTGACAGATGGCATTCAAAGTACATTCTGTGTCTTCAATCTGTCTAAAATGTAGTATTTCCTGACAACCTGTGAGATAAATATTATCATCATCTCTATTTCCTAGAAGAGGAGAGTGAGCACAGGGCGGTGGAGTCCCCGCAGCCGCTGTTGGAGGTGTCTCCTTGTCTGTTCATTTCAAGGCCACTCTACCCCTGAGTTGGTCCTGCCCATCTTGTCTTCACACACTCTGCCCAGAGTACACATTCTACATTGAGAGCTCTACCTCAATGAATGCACATATCTATTGTTAGACTTATATGTCCTCTAGGCTACCCTTCCTTTCTTCTGCCTTCCTTGCTGGGTCAGACCGAGATCCCTCCCTTTGGTCAAAGATTTGTGTAGGTAATATGGAGCACTTCTACATGGTCTCAGCTCCTTTACCACATCCTGATGCAGCCTTCAAGTTCTTGTAACATTACATTGTATGTATGTATGTATGTATGTATGTATGTATCTATCTATCTATCTATCTATCTATATCTACCTATCTATTTTTGTACTGGTATTGGAGTTTGAACTCAGGGTCTCAGGTTCTCCCCTTGGCTTTTTTACCCAAGACTGGTACTCTACCACTTGAGCCACAGCTCCATTTAAGGCTTTTTGCTGGGTACTTGGAAATAATAACCTCAAGGACAATTCTGCCTGGGCTGGCTTTGAACTTTTATCCTTACATCTCAGCCTCCTAAGTAGTTAGGATTACTGGTGTGAGCTGGGGTCTCGCAGCTACACTGTATTTCCTTTCTGTTCTTGTCTCCTGCCGTCTCTCCCTCCCTTTCCCCCTTCCTGTTTTTCTGGTGCAGGAGATAGGACCCAGGGCCTCAGACCCAGTAGCCAGCACTCTTACCACTGAACCACACCCCCAGCCCTACATTGTATTTCTATACTGTTTTATTCCCCCAAGGAGTCTGACGTGGTTAAGACCCAGAACACATCAAGCTAAAAACTAAGTGAAAAACTGAGAGTGAGACAATGCAGGAAAAGAAAGCTTGTTCTCCCCTCCCAGGGCCCAGAGGGTGCTTTCCCCCCATCCAGCTCTCTCGTGCAGGCCATCCAAAGCCAGAGAACATTACAACCCCAGGACTTTTTCCCCCAATGGCCTCTGAGGGGACAGTGGGCAGAAACAATTCTTCCTCCTGGGTCTATTAGGGAATAAATGAGGTAAAATGCAAATATCCCTGAGTATTTATATAAACCAGCAGGAATTAGTAGGGCTGTGATAGCAAAATGTTGGGAGTAGAAATAGGGGGAAGAGCAGAATGCCGTTCAGCTATGACTCACAGGCCGTCAGTAGAGCCTGAGAACGGAGCATCCCCAGCCCTAGAGCTGGCTCTGCCCACTCCTCATTCTCTCCCCTACACCCAGCACCCAGCGCCTCACCTTCCACAATGTCCTGACCTTACCCTTATGCAACAGGTGGTACTGCATCAGCCAAAAGCTGAGTCCACGTCCTCTCTGGGATTCTGACTTTCCATATTGAAGTGTGTCTGCCTGCATGTGCACGAGTGTGTGTGTGTGTGTGTGTGTGTGTGTGTGTGTGTTCTCTTAGCAAGCATTTAATGAGCACTCAGTATGCAGAGGCTGCGCTCAACAGAGGAGAATAAAATCTATTCCTGCTGTTAGAGGGCTCACAGCCTAGAGGGGCTAATCTAGAAAGAAACTTGGTACAGCAAGAATTGTGATAAGTACTAAGCCCTGGGTACTGGAGGAACCCACAGGAGGGGCGACAGGAACAGTCCTGGGGGAGGAAACCCTAACCCCTACGCTTTTAAGGATGTGCCTATAATCCTAGCTCCTCAGGAGGCTGGGATCTGAGGATTGCAGCCCGGCAAGAAAGTCCTTGTGAGGTTTTTATCTCCAATTAAGGACTCTAAAACCAGAAGTGGAGCTGTGACTCTTAAGTGGTAGGGCCCTGAGTTCAAGCCCCACAGCTGACACATACCAACAAACAAAGAATGCACTGGAGTTCACAAGTGGACTATCCAGCCAGATGAGCAGGAAAGGCATTTCAGGCAGGGAGACCAAGGGATTAGGAGGGCAGCAAGGAAAGAGCCTGTCCCTGCATGGCAGGCCTTCATGGACAGATTAAAAGGTGCTCCATGAGTAACTGAAGTGGCTCTGACTTTCTGCCATAGGCACTGGGAAGTCACTGGAGAGCTGGAAGGGTGGTGTGTGTTCCACTCATGTAGAATTTCTCACAGGCCATAGCCTATGGCACTTAACTGTGTCCTTTTCTGGTAGTCCCTGGGTGGATTCAGGGTAGGGAGGGTGGCCAGGGCTCCCAGTGGGGTCCACTCTGGCCAGCTGCTCCTAACCCTGGATCATGATCTTTGCTGTTCCACTGCAGGGAAACACAGGTGTGCTCCTGGGCATGCTGCTGGTGTCTTCTGTCATCCTCGTGGCCCTCGTCACTGTGCTGTCTGGCATCGGCCTCACGCAGCATGGCGGCGTGGGCAGTGGCGGCGTCTATTCCGTGATCTCCTCAGTTCTCGGCGGGCAGATGGGAGGCACCATTGGGCTGCTCTATGTGTTTGGACAGGTGAGCCCACAGCACCTGTTGCTGTGCCCCCAGCCTCTCTTCCCTTTCTTCCTTACCTGGCTCAAGGTATGATGGCCTCACTATAAAGATGAGTGGGGAAGCAAGCGGAGCCTAGCCACAGCCCTGAGCCCTTCGTCCAAAACAACTGTGCTCCACTTGGCCTGCCTCAGGGATCCCTGAGGTGACCAGCTCCATTCCTGCTGTCTTTCTAGAGCCCAGGTAGCAGCCAACTGGCCTGGGCCACAGTCCCTCATGCCCTGAGAGGAGGGCATTGTCCCTGTGTCCAAGGACTGTCCTGGAAGTAGGCCTTGCCCACCAGAGCTAACTTACACACACCTGAGGGCTTACTGTGGGGCTTGGTAGCGAGGCCAAAAGTCCTTGTGTGTGGCATGTGCACCAGTCCTGGGGCTTGAACTCAGGGCCTAGGCACTATCCCTGAGCTTTGCTTGCTCAAGGCTAGTGCTCTACCACTAGAACCACAGCTCTGCTTCTGGCTTTTAGGTGGTTAATTGGAGATAAGAGTCTCATGGACCTGCCCAGACTGGCTTTGAACCTCAATCCTGAGATCTCAGCCTTCTGAGTAGGTAGGATTATAGGTGTGAGCCTCTAGTGCCCGACTTCATCACCCTTAAATAGAGCTTTCCTAGGGCTGGAGATGGAGCTCCATGAGAGAGTTTGCCCTACATGCTCTGAGGCCTGGGTCCATCCCCAGTACTACAAGAAAACAAAAGCACCTGCCTTATTTTGGAGAAAGATCTTTAAGTATATCCCTAATCTAAGAACCTGAAACCTACATCATATTTTGGGGCCCCAAAAGTTCTGATTCTGGAGCCAGGTGTAGGTGTCAAATGCTTTTAATCTCAGCACTTGGGAGTTCAAGGCAGAAGGATCTCCAATTCAAGCCAGCCTAGGCCTTCACAGCAACAAAAAACCTACCCAGCAAATAAATAAAAATTTCAGGTGAAAAGATGTGCCCCACACTTTCATTTCTATTTCCAAATATTAGATATTTAAGATATTAATAATAATCTACAAAGAAATGGGAAATCTGGTTTCCTGCAAGCTCCCTTCTCTGGCTTTGGGCTCCCTGTTTTGCTTTTTTGTTTTATTCTTATTTTTATTGAAAAGGTGATAGGCAGGGGGTTAAAGTTATGTAAGTAAGGTAATAAGTACATTTGTTTTTAATCATTATTACCCCATCCCTCATTTTCTCCCACTTACCTCTCCCTATTCCCCTACCCCTCGAGTTGTAAGGCTTATATCCAACATAGTGCTGAGTGAGTATCCGTGTTGCATTGGTTCATCCTTTGTCCTGTTGTTTCTGTGATTCCCTTTCCCTTCCACAGATTGGATAAACTTATATACAAGACAAAGGCTACAGAAAACTAAAACAGAAAAAAATGAAATAACTGCATACAGGACATAATAAGAGTCTCTTGTTTCCAATGCTTGGAGTTCATGTTGATATACTTCATTATATATGGCTTTGTGCACTAAGCAATTGGGTTGTTGGAATCCCCTCTTAAGAATATCAGTGACATTTCTAGTTCTTAAAAATGAAAGAAATCATGCAAGCTCTTTTCTTTGGGTCTGGCTTACTTCACTTAATATAATTTTTTCCAAGTCTTTCCATTTCCTTACAAATAGCCTCTTCAACGAATGGTGTTGGCAGAATTGGCTAAGCACGTATAGAAAACTAAATTTAAATCCTTATATACTACCCTGCACCAGAATCAACTCCAAATGGATCAAAGACCTTGAGGTAAAAGCAGATGCCTTGAAATTATTACAAGAAGAAATTGGAGAAACACTAGGGCTCCTTGGCACAGGTAGAAACTTTCTTAATTAAGACCCAGAAACACAACAATTTCCCATGTGTTTTTATTTAGACTTAGATTTTGTTTGTGAAGATGGCAGGCAGAGCAGCCCAAAGGCCTCTCCTGCCTCTTGAGCATCCCTTCCTCTTCCTCCATGAGTTTTTCTTCTCGCTACCACTGACAGCTTTCAGTTGGATGTGGCAAGCATTCTCCCCTCCAAGATACAGCCAGGCAGCCAAGTGCAGGTGGCTCACACCTGTAATCCTAGCTACTCAGGAGGCTGAGATCTGAAGATGATGACTCAAAGCCTGTTTGGGCAGGAAAGCCTGTGAGACTTATTTCCCATTAACAATCAGAAGTGATAGATTGCCAGCCCGAATGAAAAAGCTAAAAGACCATGCCCAAGCCCCCAAGTTCAAGCCCCAGTACTCACCCCCCACCCCCCTCCACATGCTTACTCCCTCTGAAACAGCCAAGCAGAAACTGGGGCTGAAGGAAGATGCAGTGGGAAGGCCAGGTTCAACCCTTCTCTGTTTCCCAAGTGCCTGCTGTGTGTGTTTTGTGTGCACAGGTTTTGCCCACAGGCTCCTGATGCTTCTCTGTCTTGCCCACATTTTCCACTTGGATTGGTGGGCAGTGTGTTGCAGGAGCCATGTACATCACCGGCTTTGCTGAATCCATCTCCGACCTGCTGGGTCTCAGAAATATCGGGGCAGTGCAAGGAATTTCAGTTGCAGTACTTCTGGCCTTGCTGGGGATCAACCTAGCAGGTGTCAAATGGATAATCCGCCTCCAGCTTCTGCTGCTGTTCCTGCTGGCTGTGTCCACACTGGACTTTGTAGTGGGCTCTTTCACACACCTGGACCCAAGTAAGCCTTTTGAAGTTCAGTATATGAGCTATGGCCCATAGATCTGCACTAGTTTATAATATTTAAAGGAGTGGATTGGCAGAGTTCCCTTCCCTGACCTACCATTCAGGTGGGCCATTCCTGATCAGGTGAGTATGATGACTCACTGTGGCTTTAAGGGCCCAAAGCCCTCTGCACCCCTACATTTCCACCCTGGACATTTCCATACTTCTTTTGCTTGTCTTTCCATTTAAAATACAACCCAGAGACTGGAGATGTATTTCAATAGGGTAGAGCCCTTGCCTAGCATGCAGAAAACCTGAAGTTCAGTCCTAGTACTGCAAAAATAATAAAGTAACTTCTTTTCTAATTCTTGTTTCCCTGCCCCATCCTCTTCCTTCTTAAAAAACTTAAACTTGTAATTCTAGTTACTTGGGAAGCTCGATCAAAGGATCATAGTTTGAAACCAGCCTGGATTCTTGACAAATTCTTATCTTCAATTAATCAGCAAGAAGCTAGGCTGGAGGTATGGCTCAAGTGGTAGAACACCAGCAGTGAGCAAAACTGAGTGAGCATGTTGATTCTGGTACCAGCACAAATACAATAATAAGAATACTAGCAAAATTAATAAATACTACAAAGCCCAGAAATTTTATGTAAAACAATCGCCTCCTAAAAAGATGAGATTCATACGTGACTAGGAGACTAGGAAATAAATATGAGGTCAGAGAAGAAAAATAGACTTTCTGTTTGGGTGGGGTGGATTTGATATAAGTATAACAAATGTTGAGTGTATTTTGATTACTTGTATTTATAATTTTCTGTAGTCAATTATTTCTCAAAAAGAAAATATAAATCCTGTGACAAGGCTTTAAGGATAAAAGACACCATCTGGTTTTTTACTTTATTGTGTCTGTGTAATGGAGCCATCACCATCTACTGGAGCCCTGGTATCCTTGGGTAGGCCAGGCCAACCCTCCATCCTTCCACTCTGTGTGAGCACCTCTCACCAAAATTGTCGCAGTTTTATAGCTTTCTGGTTTGTCATCCAAGGTGTCTTTGCATCTCTCCTGAGGCCAGAGCTGTTCCTAGGATGTTGTGGAAAAGAGAAAACTGCCTGATGGTTCCCATTTCAGGAACTCTGTCTTGATATGGCAGTGGTGTGTGGGCATCAGCACTAGAATACAGACCAGGAAAGGGAGATGGGGCTGGCAGCTGTGTTTAAGAAAATTTGCTTCCTGGGCTGGGAAGGTGGCTCAGTGGTAGAGCGCTTGCCTTGCATGCATGAGGCCCTGGGTTCGATTCCCCAGCACCACATAAGCCAAAAGAAAAAAAAAAGTGGCGCCTTGAGCTGAAGAGCTGAGGGACAGCGCCCAGGCCCAGAGTTCAGGCCCCACAACGGACCCCCCCAAAAAAAAAGAAAATAAGAAAATCTGCTTCCTGGGCAGCCATGATGTACGTGGTGTTGTCCTTAGACTTTCACATGACTTATCTTACTGCACTCTTACCATCACTGCTTGAGATAAGAGCGATTTGTCCACTTTACAGATGAAGAAACAGAGGCTCAAAGATGCTATCATTTGTGAAAATTTATAGCAGAACTGAGATTTGTAACTAATGTTTGACTTAACAGTTGAGCAGCTGAGCTATTTCCCAAAGTGGGAAGCAGGCCTGGTTTATTTTTTGGTGAGTCTTTTTGTAATAGCAACTCTGCTTCTCCACTTCCAGGATGCCTCGGATATGTGCTCTTGGCGTGTATGTTGGTATTGACAAATTGAACTCAGGGCCTCATATTCTCATTCACTATTTTTACTAACAGCAGACATTGCTGCTTGAACCATGCCTCTAGCTCAGCATTTTACTAGTTAATTGGAGATGGTATCTTTCAGACTTTTCTGCTCAAGCTGGCTTTGAATTATGATCTTGCAGGACTCAGCCTCCTAAGTAGGTAGGATTACATGTGTGAACCACTAGCACCTGGCTTTGCACACTCTTGTCGATTATAATCATGTTGGCTGCAGACAGTCAGAAGTCAGTTGATGCACACTAATCTGGCTGCTTTCTTATATGTTATAATTATTTTGTTGGAAAATTGTGATTGCTCTGAATTCCCTGAATGTCCTCTACCCTCTGGCATTCCAGACCTGCACCAAGAGTCCCCTGACTGTGACATGATCGTATACTTAAAGCAAAGTCTTGTACTGAAGGCATCTCCAAGACCCCTCCAGCTCTAAGGGCCATGGTATATCTACATGGATTCCATGTAGGGTTCTAGCTCTTTGAAGCATTTCCATTGGAGAGAAAGGGTGGGATGTGTGTGCATCCAGCCCTGGGCCTTAGATTTAGGGCCTGGGCACTGTCACTGAGCTTTTGTGCTCAAGATTAGTGCTCTACCACTTGAACCATAGCTCTATTTCTGCTTTTTTTTTTGTAGTTCATTGGAGATAAGAGTCTTATGGACTTTCCTGCCTAAGCTGGCTTTGAACTCAGATCTAAGCCACATGAGTAGCTAGATTTACAAGCATTGAGCTACTGGAAGCTGGCTGAAAGGATTTTTTTGTTTTTGTTTTTTTAACCTGGTCTTGTACCATCCTGCAGAGACCCTATACTAAGTGAGACTTACCGGTTTTGGGCTGGGCTGCCAAGGCTGCCAAGCAATCAGTGAAGGAGAAACAGAGTCTCTTCTGGTCCTCAATTCCTGGGTACTCTCCCTTCTGTCCACATAGTCCCTGAAAGTTAAATGCAAGTTGACACTGCTGGCCCTTTGAAGCCTTCCTAGACTCAGGTGTTTTCTTCTAGTTGACTAGAACTGTTCTTGGCTGGTCTTCCAAGTGACTCCAAATGTCCCCCTTACCTTCTGGTCAGTATATTAGCAAGGTATAGTGTGAGCCAACATTTACTTTCGCTACTTTTGCATAGCAACAGGCCCTTCTAGAATCTGTATTTGGTATCACGGATGCTTTATATGCTCTGTTTCCCTTTTGGTTAAAACTTCAAACTGAAACCAGACCATAAACCTTCAGAATGAATTTAGCAGAGTGATCTGAAGTACTTGAAAGAAAAAACCAAACAGATATGTTTATATACATAGACACTTGAGAAAAGACTGGAAGGAACTTCATCTAAGGTTTAACAGTGTTTGTCAGTTGAGATTATATGCATCTGTATTACTTTACTTCTACTTTTCCCTTCAATTGATTAGTGTTACTGTTTAAAAATTAATAATAATAGGCATTTTTAGAACAGTTGAGCAGATGGTTCTTTTTCTTCCTGCCACAGCTTCTCTTACTGTGAAAATGGTGCAGAACGCTTGTGATAAATGATGACCCAATACCACCGCCTTATTAACTAAGGCCCACAGTTCGGGCTCATGCTTGGCATTGTACATGCTGTTTGTGTTGACAGGGAAATCACATTCTGAATCCACCATCACCACATTGTACAGAATGCCCTAAAGAAAACCCCCACCCAAAACCTGTGCTCCATTGAGTCAACCCCACCCCTGCAAACACCTGGCAAATGCTCCTCCTCTCTGTCTGCAGAGCTTTCTGTCTTTTCCCGTGTCCTCTAGCTGGAATTATATCATCCGTAGCCTTCTCAGACCTGCCTCTCTCACCAGTAAATACACACTTAGGATTCCTTTGTGTCCTCTTTTGGCTTGGTAGCTCATTTCTTCTTCTTTTTCTTTTTTTTAATCACGAAATTATATATTCAATCGTCTAGCTAGTCTTGGTGGTATACACCTAGATTCCCAGCCCTTGGGAGGCTGAGGCAGGAGGATTGCAAGTTGAAGGCCATGGTGCCTGAGCTACATAGTGAGATCTTGTCTAAAAATAAACAAGACAGGGCTGGGAAGGTGGCTCAGTGGTAGAGCGCTTGCCTTGCATGCATGAGACCCTGGGTTTGATTCCTCAGCACCACCTAAGCAGAAAAAGCCAGAAGTGGCGCTGTGGCTCAAGTGGTAAAGCGCTAGCCTTGAGCTGAAGAGCTGAGGGACAGCACCCAGGCCCAGAGTTCAGGCCCCACAACTGACCAAAAAAAAAAAGCAAGACAAAACAAACAAAAATGAAATATTCTGTTGTCTGAGAGTGTGTACCATCTATTAGAAGACATCTTGCTGACTTCTAGTTTGGACCAATTATGAGTAAATGTGTTGCAAACATCCTTGCTCAGCTCGTGGGGGAGCATGGATTTTAGCTCATTTGGGTAAATACCTTAGAGTATGACTGCTGGACCACATGGAAAGACTGTTCACCTTTGAAAGAAGCTGTCTTCCAAAGCCGCCTTCCTCCAGTCACGGGGATGACAGGTATGTGGTGGTGTGCCTAGCCATTCCTTGAGATAGAGTCTTGAGAACGTTTTGTGCCTAGGCTAGCCTTGAACTTCAGTTTCTTTAGCTTTGACTCCTAAATAGCTAGGATGATAGGCTTAGGCTACCATGTCTGGCTCTTTATTTGTATTTTAAGAGCAAAAAACCCACAAAGCATATTTTTGTGTTAACAAAAAATCCTGAAATCTGTAAAAAGCAGAAAATTTCTCCCGTCACTCCATTCTCCAACTCCTAAAACCTCACCTTTAAAGGAAATGGATCCGACGAGGAGTTCTCAAGATGGCGACGGGGCAGTAGGGAAACGCCACAGCTCTCTCCAACCAAAAAGAGAGTTCGAGTTCCAACCTTTAATCTCCCCAAGAGACCGACAACAACAAAAAGACGAACACTCAGAGAAAAACCAGAGGTGGAAAATAACAAAAAAAGAAAGAGAGGAAAAGAAGAATTTCAGAACAGAGAAGAGCGAAGACCCCTCCCCCAACCTTTACTGGCCGCGCGGCAGTGCGCCAAGCCGCTGGCCAGCCGGCCCGGCAGGGGCTGCCGGAGCCACAGAGACACAGGGGGCTGCTTGCAGATCACCAGGTACCGGATTGCAGAACAGCAGATCGCCAGGAACAGAGAAACCTACCAGCCGGGAGTCTCCAGGAGGATCCCACCCCACCCATCACTCTCCACCGGAGCGGAGAGGCTC